AGTCACATGATATCTGTAGATATATAGTACTGGCATCTAACTGGTGAATGCCAGGAATACTGATAAATACCCTACAATATATAGAACAATCCCCCATCCCATCCCTGCCATATACTCAGCACAGAATTGTCCAGCCCAAAATGTCAATAATACTAAGTTTAAAAAATCCTACAAATTAAACCAGTCCAGACATTGATTTCTGTTTGAAAATATTTTTGAGGGGGAAAAAAAAAAGTGCTGTAAACAAGAAAATAATGACTTAGAAACAGAAATGGGACAAAGAGTTTGAAGTGCTGCAGGGTGAGGATCAGAACATGAATCTTGGCTTTGCCCCTTAAATTATGTGATACTGGGCAATTCATTGAGCTTCTCAGAGACTGCTATGGTTTGGGTGAGTCACTCAAATGTCCATGTGTTAGAGGCTTGGTCCCCAGGGTGATGCTCTTGGAAAGTATTGTGGGTTATTAGGAGGCAGATCTTATGGGAAGTTATGGGGGGCCCTTAGGTCACTGGGGTTGTATCCTCAAAGGGGACTGGGGAACACTCATCTCTTCTTCCTTTCTGCTTCCTGGCTAATGTGGAAGACTTTCTGACTAATGAGGTGAGCAGTTTGCTCCACCATACATTCCTGCCACCATGTGCTGCCTTCACTGGAAGCTCAAAGCAAATGGAACCTTCAGTCTTAGATTGGAGCCCCCCAAAATTGAGCCAAAATAAACTTTTCATTTTCATCAGTTAATTGCTACAGGTATAACTTAATTGCTTCAGGTATTGTTTGTAACCTCCAGAACTGTGAGCCAAAATAAACCTTCTCTCTTTATTAGTTAATTGCCTCAGGTATCTTGTGATAAAGACAGGGAAGTAATACACTGTTGAAGAGAAATTCAGTCAAGGTGACTTCAACGGAGTTGGTATACAATAACAAGGGAAAGTCAGGCTTTGCTCTCCTTAGCATCTCCTAATATGGGAAGATGGAAGCCCCACACACTGAGATGCTTATCAGTCCTCAACTCCTAGGAAGCTTGGCTCTGACCTGAAAAGCCCTTATTGCACCATGCTCAGGGTTCTCACAGCCCTGGCAGCATAACCTGCCACCTGCTCACAGCAAAGAAAGGATCTTGAACAATCCCAGTCAGCTCAGCCTCCCAGGGGGCCCAGAGCTGTGGCTAAAATTAATTCCTCATGCTCAACTCACCTTTCACCTCCCTTCCCTTGTCCTCACCATGGCATTGTATAGAGACAGCAATCAGAGGCTTTATAAGGAACATTTGTCAGTGCCTGGACGATAGCTCTGGGCTGTTTCTTCTTTCATTTCCTCTCCTGTTCCTTAGTCTTTCTATTTTCAGGTTCAAAGAAAGAAGTTGCTTTTGAGTTCTATCTCCCAGAATTAAGTGATATAAGATTCCAATTGCAATAGAACTATTTCCATTTTGGATCCTTACTGATTCAAAAAGTGCCAGTGCTACAAGCCCTGTGCCCAGCTGGGTTCTAAATATTTCACAGTGGGATGTTTCAGTAGAACCACATAAAATCCTATAAATGCCCATGAGAAGATCTGAGAGTTGACCCATTCATCCTGGTGCACGGTTGACACATTCAGCCCTGGTGAGTAAGAACAGTTCCCTTCAAAACGAGACAACTTACCTGAATATTTTGTAGGAGTTACTCCATATCTCTTTACCATTTAAACATTAGCGATAGATGAGTAGCAAGACAGAGCTACTCTTTATAGCTCCTAATGGTTTACTATTATCAATAAAACAATGGTTTGGAAAAAAGAAGATATATCTTTTTTTTTCAGAATATGTATCAAGATTGCCTATATAAGTTGGTGGCTTTATACTTTGATGTCCAGATACAGAGGCCATTTTTGTCTCAGAATTTAAAGCAAACAAATTAAACTTTTCCAGATTATTTTAATGGTACTCTAAGTTTAGTTAAGTAGATCCTTTCAATCAGACAGGAAAGAAGGCAGGAGAGAAAATAAGCTAAGACCATAATGGTGAGCCATTCCCAGGAAGTCTTGGCAAAATAGAACATAAAACTCAAAAGTTTTTTTGCACTCAACCTAGCATAGGGTTACTGCTTTTCATGAGAGGCAACAAAATCAAGAATGGCTTCAGGTCAGCCTAGAATCAGTGGAGTCAAAAGAACTTTTTTTTTTTTCTTAAATGAGAATTTTCTATTCCACATCTCATAACAGCCACTTTTTTTTGTGGTCACTGGAAATTTACCTTTGAAATACAACACTTTGAAATAAAGAGAAATGAATTTAAGATGTCACAAGAAGAAAGATGCTCATTTCTACACCCTGCAATTTGCAATGAAAGCAATAGTGAAAATTTTGCCGAATTGGGAATGGAATCTGGTCTTGTTCTGTCCCTCATTTCCTATGTGATCTCAGGAAAGGATTATCATCTCCCTGTCTCTGTTTTGAGATGGAAAATTAAACATATCTACTTTACTCAACTTGCAGACCATAAGAGTCAAAGTGAAATGATATGCGTAAGTGTATATGTCATAATTTCAAATGCCACCACGATGCTTGGTAGTCTTCATGGCTAACATTGAGTACTGACTTAATTGCCCAGTATTCTGTTGAGCAGTTCACAAGTGCCCATCTCAATTAATCTTAACTTTAACTCCGAAGAGAATTCTCATTTCCCCATTTTCCAGATGCAGAATCAGAGGTTCAGGTAGGTTCAATAACTTATGTAAGGTTTGGAACTAGATCACCAAATAAGAATAAGCACTTAGAGAACTAACAAAATAGAAAGACACATAAAAGGGACTCTCAGAAGAAAGAATCTGATATATTCTTAAATTTTTATAGCAATTTAGAGAAGAACCATCAAACTCTTAGAAACTCTTACACTCATGGTTTAGTGTTGCATTTTGCATCTATGTCGGGGAGAGGGACCAAATATTTCAGTGTTTAGGGTATTTCAAGGTCTTAATCCTACCGCCTAGACACAACTGATGAAGCCAAGTTCCCAGGGCGTCAGTTGACTCCAAGGCCCACACTTATATAACTGCCATACTGTCCCCTGTCCTGAAATAATGACATAGGTTATTACTAAATAACAGTTACAATGATAATAATAGTTTTCAGGAGAAAGCAATGCCATCAAAGAAAGGTTTACTCTGCTTTGAAAACATACAGGAAGCAACCCATAATTTGGAACTAAAGACACAAAGAGAGGTGCACGGCAAGGGTCACTGGTTTCCTTACCTATCTCTGTCTTTAAAATGACCATTAAACAGCCTTCTCATTGCTGGCAGCAAACTGGTGGATTCTCTATTGGCTCAGGGCAAGTGTTTAACATCAATTTAGAAATCTTTGAAATTCCTAATGGAAACAAAACAAACCCTCCAGCAGCAATTTTAAGGCCAATGATAATATACATGGAGAGAGAGATTGATTTTTCCTATGAGCAAATGAACAGCTTTTAAGAGCTCAGGCTATTTTGGTTTCTCTCACCGACCCCCACCAATTCCCCCAGGGTTTAAGCAAGAAGCATTTAAAAATCAAGTCTATTAATGTCCAGTGAATTTGGATGATGATAAGAATCCATGGTAACTGCGAACACCTCTGGCTCGCTCTAAGTGTTCAAAGATAACCTCATGAGGTCTTTGGGGTGCCTTAGTCTAAGCATTGCTGACAGGCCCCCAGCGATGACTGAGCTGACAGCTTTTTTGAAAACTGAGATAGCAGATGAATGGGTAGCATGGACATTTTGCTCCAATCCCTTGGGGACCCTGGCTCTTCTGATTCTTAAACCACATAGAGGGAGACTCTGTATATTAGGGAACAACCCAACAACACAGATACTTCTGATTGGCTTTTAATAAAAATTAATGATGATTCAGGCATAAAAACACCATCATGGATTTCAAGCCATCCAAACGTCTTGGGCTATGAGAGTAGATGTATTTACTCTGAGTATTTGTCTCAAATCTGATAATTATTAGTTAGCTAGCTCTTAGACTTCTAGAAATGTGCTTCTAGGGTCTTTGTTGATGTGCCTGTCTCAGTGCATAGGGAGTATAAGAGGAAAACAGGAATTGAGGAGATTCAAAGTGCAGGATAGAGAGGTAGACATGGTGTGGGGAGCACAACATTCTTTGCTATTTTTTTTTTCATCCCTCTACCTGGTAACAATGCAACTGTGAAGTTAAGGGCCCTTGCACCTTTATGACCAGGGCTCAGGGCTCTTCCTAGGAAAAGTGAGAGATGAGAGGAAAAGCTAAGGGATTATTTGGATGATCCCTTTAAAGGAGGCAACCTTTTCTCCCGTTGCCCTTGATTCAGCCATCTGGCTCTGGGAGTTTGTTGCCGGATGCTCCTTGACTGTAAAATTTAAATGGATGATTAACCCCTCTCTCTCCCACATCAGCCTGCTTGCTATTAAAATGACTACCAGGACCAATCTCTGAAAATCAAGGCAGGCTGAGTACAAGTGAGAAAAATACAACCGCCAAAGTCAGCCAAATAATGCAATTCCACCCGTGCTTTTTCTCTCCCTGTCCCCCTACCTTAATGTACATGCACTACAGTTTAGTAAACCTTTTGTTTTCTTCTGCCATCTCGGGCCATCTGCATCTTTAATCATACCTGAGTAAATGGTACCACAAACTTCGGATCTCAAGTTGATTACCCTGTAATGATCCATGATAGCTCACAATAGAGACAGGGTCCCTTTCCTGCACTGCTATCATTTGTAGCTCCCTGGAAAAACTATAGTAATTGTTCTTTGTATGAACCAGTCAGACAGTATTGGTTAAGTTGGGCAAAAAAATAAATGTGCAGTGCATAGTTAGTAAGTCTCCAGAAGTTCCCTATACTGAGCGAGTCCTATAAGAAATCACTTATCTTCTCAATGTAGAAAGCATGAACATGTGTTTCTCTCAGTGTTTCGTGATTGGTAATAGTCATGAGAAAAATTGCCATGTAATGGGAGCATGAAAGAGAAGATGGCTATTGAGAGCAAAACTGGTACCTGTAGGATAGTGTTCATTCACTGGCCAGTTGTCCACCTGGAGGGTGGCATTGCCTCCATTCCTGGTGAAGCGCACCACGTGATATTTGCCATCATTGACCGGGGTCCTCTCCTCTTTGATGGAGATGTCAACCGTGCCAATATTGAAAACAACACCAATTTTTCCCTGTTCCTGTAATTTAAAAAAGAAAGGAAAATAGACATAGTTATCACTGACCACAAACTTTTCTCCCTTAAAGTTGATCCTCCAACTAGCAATAAACCTGTAGGTGCCTCGAGGGAGCTGTCAGTGTGAAGTTAATAATAGTATCCTATATTTCTCCATGGGCTTTCATCCTGAACATAAAAACCAATGGTATAAAGCCACCCAAATTGCTCTCACAGGCTGCACTGCACAGGTTACATCATCCATTGCCCTCAACGGATATCAAGGCTGAAACCACAGAGCTACCTAACAATGAGGAAGTGACATTGCAAAGTTCATTTCTGCAAGATGGATTAGGTCTGTTTTTCTAAAAGAGGCTAATACAACACTGGGTCCTAAATCATTTCACCATTCCAATTTGGATGAAAAAGGAAATATGAGCCTGCCTGCATGTTTTGAGGCAATTGAGGCCAAGGGGAGAGGTATAGAATGGTTCAGAGCCAATGGCAGAGCAATTGGCATTATAGACCAAATCCCAGTGATACTTTCTACAGATCCAAACCACATTTAAATTGATGTTTTCAGGAAAGGATAGTGAAAATGAGCCAGGGTTTTCAGAATGAAATGGCTGCCACTCTTCCTACACTGATAGCCCTATTACTCAAGTTAATCCAAAGACAGATGTAATAGTCAGTGTTGTAGATTATGTTACACAGCAGAAGAATATGTCAGTGGTTGCAAAAGACTTGTGAGAGGACAAATTTCAATGAATGTGAGAAGAGTGACATTGTGACAATGAAAATGATTACGGAGATGGTGATAGTGGTGGTGATGAGGTTATTTCCTAGAAAATGCCAGAAAACACCAAACTACAAATAATAATGCTATTAAAACTTTTCCTCTAGTAATTGGTTATGACTAAGAATTGGAATTAGTATTTCACAATGTAACAAAATGAAAGTGACCTCGGGGATCCTGTACATTCAGTTTTTTCAACTTCTTAGGGTGCCATTGCAGCATAGTAAAGTAGAGGAAGGATGGGGCAAAAGAGAAGGAAAGAATCCTCCTGTATTTCTCTAGTTGTCTGACTTATTGGCAATACATTGGACATACAAAAATAATAAAATTCAGCTGCAATTTTGATGTTCTACAAGAATGGGTCACAGTATTTGTTCACTAGCTTTTGTTATTCTCTATTTGTTCAAGTAGAAGAAGAGATTGAAAAAGAAGCCAAGTGAATATGGTTAAAGAAGTATAGAATCCATATTAACTAAGTTCTAGGAAAGATATCACTGAATTCTAGATTTAGTAATTCATTCTTTCAATACAAAAATCAATATTTATTAAGCACCTACTGTACTGAAGTCAATAAATTAAGACTTCTTGTGAGATGGGCATTGGTTTCCACATTGTTTGATAGATTTCACTTGTTTTCCCAAAACGTAGTTGTCTTCAACTTGCCATTTGTCCTTTAGTATGCAAATACATCTTGTATTCAATTGAAAGAATGAACAAGTACCCAAAGTCTTGATCTTAGAAGATAGGAATACAGACCAGTCAACAAAAATGCCATCTACATTCAGGGATGAAAAGATACAGAGTGGACATTATTGTTTCCTTTGTGTCCTCAGAGCATGGCACATAGCATCAGCCAATGTCCACATTTCTCACCTGCTATTCCCTGGAAAAAGTGATCCAAATGCCTACCCAAATGGTTACCAAGCATACTTAGGACTTCTTAAATCTCTGTTGGGATCACTGTGTTCTGTTTTATTTTGTTTCATCTCTACATCTCCATACTAAACAAAGTACCTCACATTAAAACAAAATGACGAATAGAAACGTGAACCTGACTATGGGTTCTTTTTTGGACCTTCTGTGCCCATAATCAGTAACATTATAATCCAATTTATATTTTCTCCTCCATCCTCAAGGAATTTAGAGATGACAACGTGACTTTTCTGTTATCTCTTAGAGAACTGTGATTTATTTCTGGGTGTGTGTGTGTGTGTGTGTGTGTGTGTGTGTGTGTGTGTGTGTTCATACCCTCATTCCTAAATAAGCAAGGCTATGATGGCTTGAGTCATAACCTGCTTAGCAGAATAAAAGGACTGGAGGAGGCAAGAAACCACGACTACAGACACCATTCCTCCTCTGCCCACCCACAAATGTGGGGTGTTTATTGCACCCCTGCTCTTCAACGAGAAACCACTACATAAATCCTGGATGCATGAAAGGGACTCCCGGCTGGTGATTCAATTTACCTCTGAGTCACTAATTAATCACGGATGGAGAACAGTTTTAGGGGGAGAAAGGAGACCTTTAAACCAGCATTCTGCAGCTTTTCAGCAACAGCAGCGGCAAAGCACAGTTTTGGCTCAGTGAGTTGGCTGATCAACAAGATATATTCTTCGGCAGATTTTCTGCAAGATCCATAATAGATCCAGGAAAAGAAAAGATTTAATCTCTGCCAGAATAAATATTTCGTCCTTATCTAAGGCACCACACATTTGCCATTGCAATACTGTTTCGGAGAGATCTTCTTAATCCTGTTAGTACACAGCCAAATTCAGGGTAGACCCTCACCCAGATGTTTCATTTTGCTTCTTGCAGCGGTAAATGTGGCTGGACTAGACCTTAGATGTGGTCTCTTTATTTGTAGTAATAAGATTTCATTCCCACTACCTCCTTGTCATTTGTCATGGGACCACAGTGGCATTATAATTTGTGGCTAACTACTTTGTTTCAGTTCATTATAAGTCATGGAAGCCTTGTGGCCAATACCCATATAGTTGTCCAGGCCTGAATCCCTTGAGTTCAGCTGCCATAAAAATAAACTGTGGGGCTCATTGTAGCCACAGAAGAGATGATGGGAGGGATAAAAAGCATTTTTATCCCAGGATTTGGTGTCAGCTCTTATTGACTTTGGGCAAGTTACTTAACTATTCTGAACCCATTCCTTGATAATACAGGATAGGGATGAAATACCAGGTTTCCATATTCATAGGGCTTTTTCAAAGATAAAATAAGATGATGAATATGATAGTACTTTACAAGTAACAAAACATTATGAAAATATTAGAAATGGATGAGCTCAGGAGAAGGGACTCATTTGACCATCAGTAATGATCTGGGATTACTGAAGAATTTGATTAGTTCAATAGGACAAACAGATTTTTTAGCATAGTATGTGACTGATAATACCTCTGTCTCTTAACATTCTATGGTTGTATGAAGATTTGAAAAATAAAATATTCTATGGTCTGAGGCAGGTTATTTAAGTTCTAATTTCTCTCCTATAAAAGGATGCATCAAGGAAGAAGAAGAAAACCGCTCCCTTAAAAGCTTGTTGTGAGGGCTAGGGTTGTGGCCCAGTGATACAGCGCTCACCTCCCATGTGCGAAGCTCTGAGTTCAATCCTCAGCACCACATAAAAATAAATAAATAAAATAAATCTATTGTGACCAACTACAACTAAAAAATAAATTTTTTTAAAAAAAAGCTTATTGTGAGGTTTACAGAAGAATCCATGTGTGGGAAGCACCTGCCACATGGCTGTGTATGCTTCTGGAGCTCAAGAAATAAATGTCCATCTTCTTTCCTCTCATTAGTTAATTAAAGTATTGGCATGAACTGAGGTCTGGTTGGTTTGGCTGACCTGGTCATCAAAATATATTGTGAAAATAAATGTCAATTTTAGCAAACAGACCATCAAAAGGCTCTGTGTGGTGATGATTCCCTGTCAACTGCAATTTGCTGGCCATTCTCTTTCCACAGTCCTTGGTGCCTTTTATAAGCCTTTCTAAGACAAGCAAAGCGGAGCTGCAGAAACAGCTTGACTATAAATTTTAATAACTCCACACCCATCACCACTGAAGTTGCTACCAAGGCAATCACTTCAATCTATCTTCTTCCTTGATATTAAAAACAAAGACAAGTGGTAAATCAGAAGACATTACCTAAGGATCCTCAAGTACATTCAGGAAAGAAAGGGAAAGGGATAGAAAACAGCTTGTCTTTGGATAGCCAGCAAGTCCTACTGATGAGCCAACCTGCCTCCTTACATCATTACAGCTCCAGCTTTCGGATCCTCCACCAGCCACATCACCGTTATTGCTGCAGAGGTGACCCAAGAGATACCGCCAACACCAGGGTCAGCCTTCAGGAACAGAAATGTACAGTGGCAAGATAAACCCCCAGGCATAAAGAACTCCCTCAAGTCTACCCTCTTCATTTATTCCAGAGTGTCCCCAGGGAAGGCAGAAGGCACCATCTGCTATTTCAGAAAATTGCAGGTGACAGGAACAGAACGGAGATTTCAAATGTATGCCAGGGAGCCGTGCAGTGGAAGCACTTCTCCAGATCATCATTGCTCGGCTTCGACAGAATTTGTTAGTTCAGTGCTTGACGATAATACAAGGAAAACCACGTGTAAATGTTGCTCTCCTGGGGTCTGGGCTCTGCGAGGCCTTCCATACCCATTTCAAAGTCTGGTTCATTCTACACCAAGTAGCCAGTGGTACTGTCTGCACTTTTGTCTAGGTCTGCCCATTATGGGATCATGGTAAGAGTGACCGCTTGGGTTCCCTATGAAGGATAAGGCCAACAGACCAGTATTGACTGACAGATTGTCCTATTTTCAGCAAAGCATTTAATTGTTACTAACGAGACCTTCCCAAGACTTCTCATTGCTGTGAATCCCTGTGCCCAGCAAATTCCTGGTCGGGGCTGACAGTCTGGGCCACTGTGTGAGGATGGCAAGAAACCAACTTGCACTTGACATGGAAGATCACTAGGACACAAAGTTAGATTGCTTTATGCCATTGAATGTGAAGGCTGTTTGCAACTATGGCATACCTTGGACTGTTTGGATGCTCAGTGAATATTTTTGAATAGAATTTTATTCAATTTCTCACAATTACCCCTAGGGAATTTGCACACGAAGAGGCTTAAGATAAGCATCTGAGTCTGTCTGACTCTACAGCTTATGGATTTTCCACTGAATTACGTTTCTGTCACACTTATTA